CCAAATGAAATGTGGATACATCAATACACAAGGATATATGTGTAAAGTGTTAATCAATTGACCTCCCTATGCCGGTTTCCTATCACATGCGGTATTATTAAGCCATATTGTCTTATCCAACCGACACCTTCCCTTCTCGATAGCTAAACACCATTGTTTATCCTACCAAGAAAAGGTAACGATTCTTAGGCTCCGTTTGTTTTGCGAAAAATGAACGATTCGGTAAATATTTTCTTAAAATCAATCGCTTGTAACACTTACAAAATGAATGAATAAAAAATATTTTCACCGTTAGCTCTTCTTGCTTTGGGAAAATTTTCCGCTTCCATCGTTAGGAATTGACCCGCTACTTTAGATTATTCACACCAAAAAATCTGACGGGATAGAAGACAGAATACAATACATTCATGCTGCACTGGAACCGGTTATACAACTCCTCCAAACTATAGAAGCTCTCATCTCCCAATCTAAATCTAGATTCGAGGTTCCTTAGAGACGTATGCTCGTTCAACCTCTCTCGATATAGATCTGGGAACCTTTTTAACCTGTTTTTGGTGTCTCTGTACGGTGATGGTGTTGAAAATTCCGAACCTAGGCACGACCGCCCATTGGGCAAGCCGTAACTTTTGGAGAAGGAAATTACGATGTGTGTTCATTACTGAAAATGATGTGAGATTCAATAATTGATAACCATTCGTTCTTTTTTTATATCGAGACAAATTCATTTTTGTGGGATGAGAGTCTGTTTGTCACTGCAATTTGTGTTTTATTGTTCTACTTTGCTTTTAGAATTTGTTTTGTTTTGAACCTTTCATGTATCATCTTGAGATATGAATGAAATCTTTACTTTTGACAAAAAAAATGTGATCCTTTATATATTTTTCGGTCAATATAATCTTTAAATTTTTAGAAGCAATTCAATACAATTCTTCCGTTTAAATGAGACACCTTATCGCATGATTTTGATAATTTGGAATTCCATCTTAATAGTTGAAAGTTGTGATGAAAGAGAGATAAAAGTAATATTCTGTGTAACTCAAATGAGAGTACATGAACTGATTTATAAGCTTTATAGGATGACTATCAAAAGTGACAAAAAATCAAATACAATTAATGAGAATCACTGGGGGTTGCCCTAGTGGCCACTCTTCCCACTTGGTAAGGGGGAGGTGGGGAGTTTGATTCCCCATCTTCTCTGAGGGGCTAGGGGTGGGAACGCATGAGTGAGGGAGTAAGGTTTCGTTACCTACGCACAGCACATAACACACACAGTGACTTGTAAAATAGAAATAGGATAGAATCAGACAAAAAAAAGTACAACCAATGAGGACCAATCAAGGGATATATACGTATTCCCCGAAATATATGTCTAATGAAACATCTCAAACTCAAGGTGATTTGAAAGAGGTGAACTAGAGAACAGAGAAAAGATCTATAAGACACTTAGGTGAATGTATCTCGGTGAAGATATCAACAGTTTGTTCAGCGGATGAAGTAGACACAAGTCGAATAGTGCCACAAAAAACGTGATATGGAAAGAAATGTGAGTCTATTTCAATGTGCTTGGTATGTTCACGAAACATCATTATTTGGATAACATTTCGAAATGATTGTTCCGCTATGATGAGGAACTCCCATGTCTTCTAGTAGACATTGCAACCTTAGTGATTCTGATGTTGTATTAGCAAGAGCTTGATATTCTGTATCTAATTTGAGCAAGAGACAGTGGTCTATTTCTTGCTAAACCATGGGATGACTAAGTTGACCAAAAAGAAATAGTAGCCCATAGTGGAGCGGTGATCTTGAGGGTCACCAATCTAGTCAGTTTTAGAATAAGCCGTCAACTCCAAGGTAAAATGAGCAGAAAAGTGAAAACCATGAAACAACATACCCTTGACGTAATGAAGAATTCGAAGGATTGCAACAAAATGAGTTGTACGAGGTGTAGTCATGTACAGACTAATACTATAAGCAATATAGGCGATGTCAATTCATGTAATAGTGAGATATATAAGACTGCAAACCAGCAGTCGATAAAGTATAGGATTTGAAAGAGGAAATTGCTGACGTGGCATGGGCCTCGGCAAGTGCTCAAGCCCACATAAGGAAAAAACATAGGTGGATTGAGCCCTCCATTGGAACACTTTTTTAGTTTTATTATTTTATTTCGGCTAAAATGTTAAATAATTATGAAAATGAATGCTGGATCATTTTAGGGCTTTGTATTAGTATATTTGCTACTTTATGTACGAGTGCTATGGTACTTTCTATCATACATTAGAAATTTCGGCTTATTTTTATCAAATTAGTGCTCATAAATTCCAAATGTCAAAGTGAAATTAGCAGTAACATATAATTTGTTAACTTTGTGGGTAGGGTCGATCCTCAAGACCCTTCCCTAGGCTTGGAATTTTTGCCCATGCTTGCCCAGCGGGGCTAAGACATCCAACCAAGCTTGCTCGTTCTATTTGTTGGTCGCCCGCTTGCCGATCAGCTATACCGATGCAGTGGTCGAGACTAGTGAGAAGGGTTAGTAGCGAGATGATGGGTGTCTCTTATCAAATTAGGTGGCAAGAGTTGTGTTCGAGTCCAAACGCGACAGTTAACTATTCTATACAGAGCGGTATAGAAGTAAGCCTCACTCTATCTCCCTCGTGTACCTGAACACCAGAGCATACATTGTCATCGTCAAATCCGTTCTCCCGACAAATCTGGCCTTATTCACTCTCGATTTGGTAACTAATAAAGAGAATGGATAGTTAAAATTCTCAAATCAAACGGCTTATAAAAGCCGTCCAAAAAAAAAAAATGTTTACGCGGGCAATGTTTGCTATGCTCGCCCAAATTAAAAATTGCAAAAGTAGATCTTCACAAGATGGGGAGGCAGAAGAGAAGCCCTGACCTAACCCTGGTTAAGTCTACACATGGAGGGGGGTAGATATTCTGATTCCCCTGCATTTCAA